CCTCAGCCTCCCAAAGGCGCGGGATGACAGGCTGAGCCACCGTGCCCAGCTTTCCCTATCATTTTCACATGTTAAGGAATTCTATTCTTCTTCCAAGGCTGCTGTAGACCCAGCTACTCGCGAGACTGAAGCGGGAGGATTGCCTGAGCCCAGGAGGTCGAGGCTGCGGTGAGCCATGATGGTACCACTGCTCTCCGGCCTAGGTGGCAGAGTGAGACCCTGTCAATAATAATAACAATAATAATACCGATATGCAAGTCTCCTTTCAGCGTCCATACATAGAGTTTTGTCAGACACAGTCACGCCCATACATTACGTGTCATCTACGGCTGAGTTCCTGTTACAACAGCCGAGTTGGATGTTGGAGCAGAGACCTGAGGACCCACAAGACTGAAGATATTTACCATTTGGCCCTTAGAGAAAATATTTGCCAATCCCTGCCCTCAAGGCCCGGGAAGAACCAGTTATAGTCCCTCAGAATGTTCTAGAAGTCCCTCCTGCCATTATCTAAAGAGATAGGTCAAAGAGCAAGTTCTGTGTTGCAGGGGAGGAGCTGATTTGGACCTGTAGTTCCAGGAAGATTCTAGAATCATGACTGGAATCTATGACTCACCCCAGGAGTTCCAGAGCTTGACGTCCTGCCTGGGGTTCTAGATAAATGGAATCCAGGCTGATGGGAGTGTCGGAATTGACATCTGGTTCTGCTCAGGCTGGAGGATTCTAGAACCAGGGAACGAGCAGAATTTACCTGCTGTGCTAGAACCCTGGCCAGAGCTGCCCAATTCCAGTGTAGTCAGGAAGTTCTAGGTAGGACTACAGCAGACATACCATAGTAAGTTAGTACAGCCGGACGCAGTGACTCACACCTGTCGTCCCAGACCTTTGGGAGGCAGAGCTGAGAGGATTGAGTGCAGGGGTTTGAGACTAGCCTGGGCAATATAGGTAGACCCCTTCTCCATATATATATGCCGTGCGTGGTGGCACACGCTTGTAATCCCAGCAGTTTGGAAGGCAGAGGCAAGGGGATTATTTGAGCTCAGGGGTTTGAGATCATCCTGGGCAACACAGTGAGAACTCATCTCTACAATGAATCAAAAACATTAGCCAGGCATGGTGGTGCGTGCCTGTTATCCCAGCTGCTTGGGAGGCTGAGGTGGAAGGATCGCCGGAGCCCAGCAGGTCAAGGCTGCGGTGGCCGGGAGCGGCCACTGCACTCCAGT